TTAAATTTCTCTATTCAAATGGGAAGATCTTCACATTAAATTAAAATGAAAGTCGTATGATTTGGTGGTGCTTAATAGAGTCATACTTAAAGATAAATGACATGGAAATACTTTTTAAAAGGGCAAAGATTTTGCAGCCTAACATGCTCACATCTAAATCAGATAAAGCAATAGCAGAATTACAAAAGGGACTATTTTATAATAATTATCAATACAACATTAGTAACGGAATAATGACACTGAAAAATAATGCATTAAATAACTTAAAACAATTTAACGTGCTTTTTATTTAAAAAACTTTTTTAATGTTTATTTATTTTTGAGAGAGAAAGGGAGAGAGAGGGACAGAGCACAGCAGGGGAGGGGCAGAGAGAGAGGGAGACACAGAATCCTAAGCAGGCTCTAGGCTCTGAGCCCTCAGCACACAGCCCCAGTCGGGGCTCTAACCCAGGAACCGTGAGATCATGACCTGAGCTGAAGTCAGACGCTTAACCGACTGGGCCACTCAGGCACCCTTTGGCATGCTTTTTATGATGCAGCAAAACAGTGAAAATAATGTATATCCAAGCAGCAGTGCAAAAGTTTACAAAATTAGAAACTTAAACTAATGAAATATTTCACATCGGTAGATTAAATAAGAAGTAAATGATTATTATGATAGATTGCGTTTTAAACACAGTGTTGGATAAAATTTAACACTTGTTCCTGATAAAATGATAAAAAGAAAAAAAACTGTATTTTAACATGATAATAAATTTGTTTAACCAATAGTCAAAATTAATGTAAAAATACTAGAAATATACATCTTTAAAAACAGAGGTGGGGTAGAAGTTGGTATAGTGGTTCTGCCATAATAATTGTTATTAAACATTATTTTAAAGCCCTTATCAATATAATAAAACATACTAAAGGAAAAAGAGGTATAAGGAGTGAAAAAATATACATTATCATTATGACGGGAAAAATATTTTAATAGCTTGAAAACCCAAAGAAGTGAACAAAAATGTGTATAGACCTAATTAATTAGTGAAATCTTGGAAGACATATGACTCTTCACATAAACCAATAGTATTTCTAAATATTAGCAATCGTTAGCTTAAACATAAACTTCTAAAAGATTTATTTTACAAGATATGTAAAACTCTGAGTTTAAACAGAACTATGTTACCTACCTAGATAAAACTGTTTGAGAGCTATAAAAATATTAAGTTAATCAAAATATTGGTTTCTGATTTTGAAAAGGTAACATTTTTAAATTGTTAATTATTTCCAAAGTATAGATTTAATGGGGAACCTAATAATCATGTCTCTTTTGTTTTTCACATTTTGAGGTAATGGTGAGAGGAAATTGATTTTCACATAAATCTGGAAAAGAAAGTAGGCAAGAATAGTAGAAATCATTTCTGAGAAAGAAAAATAATGAGGGCAGACTAGTCTTATCAAATATTAAAATATATTATAAAGTTATAATAACTAAAATCATGTGATACTGGCACCAAAATAGATTAATTAGGAAAAGTAAGTGGTTAACAATTATATAATAACAAAATATTTGATAATGTTAGAACACAAACCAATGGAAAGGGAAAATATTTTACAGTGTGTGGACTGATTAACTGTTTGAAAAAAAAAACAAATTATATACTCATGATACACAAAATAGCAACACTTAAACCATAGGAAATCTAAAGGGACTTGGTTTTAAAGATTTAGAATACTGTAACAAATTGCAAAGTGAAAAATAAAATAGATTTGATTTATATAAAGATAGCAACAAAACAAACAGTAGGCTAGGTACAATTATTTGAACATAACAAAAGGGAAGGGTTAATTATCATATTATTAACAGAAGCTCATACAAACTCCACCGCTAAAAACTAATACATGAGATAAAATAGAATCCTATTTAGCCAATATATGAGATAAGACTAAAATCACATTTCACAAAAGATGAACTATAACACATTTGCAAACATAAAAACATTCAGCCTTACTAATAATCAATTGAATATATACTAAAACAAAAATCAGCTGTATTTAGGCTTAATCAATTATTTTAACTTTAATGTCAAGGATTTACATTCCCAGCTGATACAGATTATTTTCATTTAGATAAACTTACCCTCTGGAGAAAGTGGGAAACCTGGATAAAATCTAGCAAATATTTGTTTAAAAGCATCCTAGAGCTTTAAGGTGGAGAGGATTGGAGAAGCCAAAAACCCAGAGAGTAGGCAATCCAAGAGAGATCTCACTTACACAACTACCTGTTAGAAGGTAAAACACCACTTGACAAAGATATCACCCAGAGGCTCAAATTATCTGAACAATTTTTCATACACAATGTCTGGAAATAAAATTACCAGTCATACCTGTAGACCAGATAATAGACTTTAAAATATCTGTAATTAATAAATTAACAAAATTAGATGAGCAGATAGGGAATTTCTGCATATTATTGGTAACTATATAAAAACCAAATGGAAATTCTGGAACTAAGAAGTAAACTGACAGAAATTAAAAATTCAATGGATGGGTTTAAGAACAGATTAGAAACAGCTGAAGAACAGATTGATGAACTGGAAGGCAAAGCAATAGAAAATTTAATGTTAGTACCCAGAGTTAGCAAGGTACAGTGGAAAATGGTTTCTTCTTACATAACTGGTGGTATGTAAATCTATGTAATACTTTTTGGAAATGCTTTGGTGATGTAAATCAGATATTAGAACAAAAAAGAGGGGCACCTCGGTGGCTCAGTCTGGGGCTGAGACTTCAGCTCAGGTCATGAGCTCACAGTTCATGACTTTGAGCCCCACATTTGGCTCCCAGCTGTCAGTCTGTCAGCACAGAGCCCACTCTGGACTCACTGCCCCCTTCTTTCTGCCCCTCCCCGACTTGTGCTCTCCCAAAAATAAATAAATATTTTTTTAAAAATAAAAAAATGTGTATGTTTTGACCCAGTAATCTTATGTCTAGGAATATCTATTACGGAAATAATTTTTTTTTAATTTTTTAAATTAAAAAAAATTGTTTTTACATTTATTTATTTTTGAGAGACAGACAGAGAGAGAGAGAGATAGAGTACAAGTGGGGCAGGGGCAGAGAGAGAAGGAGACACAGAATCCGAAGGAGGCTCCAGGCTCTGAGCTATCAGCACAGAGCCTGACGCGGGGCTTAAACCCACAAACCACGAGATGGTGACCTGAGCTGAAGTCGGATGCTCAACCGACTGAGCCACCCAGGCGCCCCTACAGAAATAATTTTTTTACTGTGAATTGTTTTATGTATAAAGATGTTCACTACAGAATTACTCATTATACTAACTACAGTGTGCAATGTTTTAAGTGCTTTACTTCAATTTATGCAGTTAATCCTCACAAAAAACCCAAGGAGGTAGAGGTTGTTACCACTAATATCCTCATTTTATAGATGAGAACAATAAAACCTTGAGAGGTCAAGTAGCTTGCTCGAGATTATGGAACTAGTGAGTAGAGAAACAAATGTTTGAACCAGGCTGCCTGCCTCCACAGCTTGCACTTGAACCTGCCCTGGGCTTTTGGAAGCAACCTAGATAGCTAAGAACTGGAGACTTGCCAAATAAGTGATACCCCCAGTCTATGTAATATTATGTGGGTATTAAAAATGAGCATCACCAACACTTTTAGCAACATGGGAAATAATTCTGATATAATACGAAGAGGGAAAAAAATCAAAATCCTAGAATTACACCAAATAAAAAATATACGTACAAATATGATGGGAAGCAAATATCCCCAAAGGCTAGTAACAATTATGTGAGGTTAGTAGCACTAGTTTTCCATTTCTCTTCTTCCATTCTTCATTTTCTCAAAATTTTAATGATGTGTTTCATATATATATATATATATTATGCTTCATATAGAAAATACCATTACCTATATGTAAAAAGTAGTAGTTTATTGGGTAAGAACCTGGGTTCTGGAACCAGACTGCCTATGTCACCACTTACTAGGTATGTGACCTTGGGCAGGTTGTTGAACTTTTGTTTCTTAGTTTCTAAGTTTATCCTATAAAATGAGGATAATTTTAGTATGTATCTGATAGGGTAATTGTAAGGATTAAATGTGCCTAAAATGTATTTAGAACAGTGTCTGAAACTGAAGTATGTAAGCATGATCTAGTGTTGTTATTCTGCAAACAGGCCTCATTGTTTTAGACCCTGAGTGACCAGACAAAATGACAATTCCCCCCTGCCAGTCCTTTGCTAGGCACATACATTAGCAACAATTTTGTTTCTATATATATATATCTTTGTCCTTACTATGAATTCCCCAATGCAGAGATGTCTAGGAACCAAGAACCGTTGGCTAAGGAGACACTTCCGAACCCTTTCCAAGAAGCAGTGATAATCAAATGTCTGATGTGTTTTTTATGTTAGAGAAGTTCAGCCTCCTTGCCTGTGTCACATCTCTGAGACCTGTACAAGAGTGATTGAAGCTACCCCTTGAAGCCAATATTACATGAACATTATCAGCAGTGAATTAGAGAAAATATTTATCTATTTCCCCAATTTTACCCTTCTCTGAATGAATGACTTTCTACCGGCTCCATGATCTGACAGTCCAAGTAACAACAGAAAACTGTTTAAGAAATAGGACACTTGTTGTAACTTGATTTTTCTGAATTGAACACCCCAGGGGGACTGAAAATGTGCTTCAAAACTTTTTTCCACTTGGCCGATCCAAAAAGTTTGGAAAATGTTTATAGAATTTCCTCATTCCTTAAAACAGTTTCATTGAAATTGTAAAAGAAAAAAAAAAAAAGATCTGTTAGATGCCAGGATTTACTGTTAGCTGTCTTAATGGCTAATGAAATGATAAGACCTTGCAATAACCCCTGCCAATTAAAAATTAACAGGTGCGTGCCAGGTAGAATATTGTATTACCTGTAAGAGAAAAGGATGCAGATGGGTATTTCACACATTTGTGAGAATGATCACCTTTGACGTGTGTCTCTGGTTTTCAGGACATTGCACGTGTCTCCTCTTGTAAGACTTTGGCTGCAGAACCCAAGTGTGAACCCTGCTCGGTGAGTTAGCTGTTTCCTGAGTGTTGTCTGTCTCTTCCTTGCCTCTGTCAAGACCCTGTGATGTTCACTGTCAGTGTCCTTTGCTTAAACTTTCTAAAAATTCTCAGCTGTCTTTTATGGTAAATGTCTAACAAATTGCTCTAATCGAGTCTGAGTTTTACAGTGTTGCTAAAGAGCTTGCACACAAACCCCCACTTTGTTCCAGGGTTTACCCCAAACCTTTCCCACTCTTTCCTAATAGTCATGTTCTAACACAAGACTACTCGTTAAGACATTCACTGTCTAAATCACAGGTCAACATTTCACAGTTAGTGATGACTGGTCCCATGAAGGATGAGAAGAGCATGGTAATAGTGAAATTCCTTTCCCCTTTTACGAAAATAAATCACGAGATTCAACCAGCAAATGGTGAATCAATGGCAAGTCAATAATAAGGTGAGAGATTATGTTACTGAAAAATGACCTCAAGATGAATTTCTTATGTAGATAAATGCTGGACAATTTCTTATTGTCATAGTGTTATTGGAGGTTATTTCAAGTGTTCATATTGCCACATGAGGTAACGGAATTGAGATGGGCCCCCTCTCTAACATGCCATCTGTGTCTGAATCTGCAAAAATTTCTAAACAGTTCTGGTCTTCAGTATCTCCACTTGAAAATGGGAGTGGTAGTATTAATCTGTTAGGTTATGAAGGCAAAATGTTATAACACGAAACACCTGACAACCAGCAATCACTTCACGGACACTAGTCCTCCCTACCACTGTGTATTTAGATAGAAAATAAATACATAACACAGAACTCTGCTTTCATCTTCAAATATATTATTCTTCATTGATTATTTTATGAATATAATCATTGATTCAGAAAATAAATGGAATTTTTATCCCTCCAACCTTCATTCTTTTATTCATTTCTCAGAGCTTTAATGAGCATCTACTATAAGCTAAGAAGTGCTGTGGGAGACAAAAAGGAGAGTGAAGTACCCATTGTATTCTCATGGAGATTGGAGTCTAGAAAGAGGTTGTATGTATGTATGTATGTATGTATATTAAATGCCATTAGAGAAACAAAGTATTATCTTCGTTTATTAGAAGGAGAAAGCATTTTATCTAGGGTTTCAATTTCTTTATCTGTGAAATGTGTAAAATAATCTCTGCCCTGCTGGTCTTTTAGGGGTCTGGAGATCAAAGGGGAGCCTGCATGTGGGATCTCTTTGGAAACCCTGAAGCACTCTGTGAATGAAAAGGGTAAATTTTTCCTCTCTTCCCTTGTACCATAAACTCCATGAGAATGTTTGACAGGGCCTGTTATGTTGGTCTTTAAAATTTTTTGAAGTATATATATAAAAAAATCACACTGTAAACCTTAAATATTTACCATTTTTATTTGCCAAGTAAACATCAGTAAAGAGGGCTAAGTTTTTTTTTAAATTTTTTTAACATTTATTTATTTTTGAGACAGAGAGAGACAGAGCATGAAGAGGGGAGGGGCAGAGAGAGAGGGAGACACAGAATCGGAAACAGGCTCCAGGCTCTGAGCTGTCAGCACAGAGCCTGATGTGGGGCTCGAACTCAGGGACCGTGAGATCATGACCTGAGCTGAAGTCGGACGCTTAATCGACTGAGCTACCCAGGCGCCCCAAGAGGGCTAAGTTTTGATGAAACAATGAACCACTGATGGAATGAAAGAATCCGTGAATGTTATGCACTGAAGGTCTGTGCCCCCCCCCCCCAACCTCATATGTTGAAATCCCAACCCCCAATGTGATAGTGTGAGAGGTGGGGCCTTTGGGAGGCAATTAGGTTTATATGAGGTCATGAGGGTGGAGCTCGAGTTAGTGCCTTTACAAGAAGGGGAGATACCAGCATTTCCTCTCCACCACATGATGACACAGTGAGAAGGCAGCCATCTTCAAGCCAAGAAGAGAGCCCCCACCAAGAACTGAATGTACTTGTGCCTTGATCTTGGACCTCCCAGCCTCCAGAGCTGTGAAAAAATAAACATCTGCTGTTTAAGCCGCCCAGCCTATGGTATTCTGTCATAGCAGCCTGAGCCGACTATGACAATAAGTGAGAAAATAAATGAATAAGTTAATGAAGGAAACAAAACAAAGATGCAGAGTAGGAAAACCTACAAAATGAACGAGGAATAAAGGGTTGTCTTTGAAAATATGTAGTATAGCTGAGTGTTAGGAGTATGACCCATAGCTAGATGGAAGGATGGATGGACGCAGTGTTCTCAGAGTGTGGTCCGTGGACCAGCGGCATGAGTATTGTGTGGGAACTCATTAGAAATGCAAGTTCCTGGTCCACCAGCCAGTCCTGCTGAGTCTGAAAGTCAGAGGTAGGGCCAGCAGTCTGTGTTTTAGCAATCCCTGTAGATCATTCTGATACAAAGTAAAGTTTTGAGAACCATTACTTTTGTACTAACATGGGGACTTTGGAAATTATTCTGCTGTGAGTACATTCAGTGTTAATGAAGGTTTTTAGCTGTGGATGGATATAATCAGACCTGTATTTCTAGGATGATGAGTCTTGGAGCTTTGCCTAAAAGAATTTATGGCTTCAACGTGGAAAGGACCATTGGAGATACTGGAAAACACATTGTATTTGCCAAGCCCCAGAGTGACAGATTTTGGTTTTTCCTATTTCCTGATAATATGCACATCATCAGCTAAGAGGCAGAGCAGAGCAGGCGCTGCCCCCAGGCACTGGAGAAACCTGCTTGGTCTGCAGAGACCCCAGCGGGATGAGAATGTTGAGCTGTCAAATATATCAAATACCAGTCCTCACTGATCTTGGAGAGCCCTCTTAGTCCTGACCAGCTGTGGGGAAACATCAAGTGGAACCTTCCAGACCAAGATAAATGGGCAGCTCTTCCTAAGACTGGCCTAGGTAGCTGCCCTGGCTGAAAATGCAGCTCCGTATTTAGGGCTGGTGGAGACAGGTCTGCCAAAGGGGAGGGCAGTGTGGAGGAAAAACGGAAGAGCCTCAAGGGGAAACAGTTACCTTAAGAAAGAGTCTAGGAGCCCAAGATACAAGCGTGGGGTGGGGAAGCAGCGGGGAGAAGAAGGATGAGGGCTTCTCAGAGAAGGACTGCTCAGATGCCCAATCATCTGGGTTTGCCCAAGGCACAGGGTGTTCAGGACAATCCCTGTCAAACCAGGGCAGCTGGTCACCCTACAACTGTGTTCCCTCACCTGTGTTGAAGACCATGTGACAGCAGAAAAGTCACCGCTCTAGACCTTGTTTCTCAAAATAGTGTCCACAGACTGGCAGCATCAGTATCACCTGGGAGCTTGTTAGAAATGTACCTTCTCAGGCCCACACTAAGGCTGCAGGATCATACCTGCCGGAGAGGAAGAACCCCAGGTGATCTGCAGGCACATGAGTTGAGAAAGACTGCTTTAGAAGATCCTGTGCGCCCTGGGGAAGAAAAGGTAGCCCTGGTAGGGAGCAGAGAGAATTTCTAGGCTGTGATCTGGCAAATGTCCAGTTCGGCCAGATTCTATACTGAAACTGTATCAACCGGACCTGGCAAGGAGCAGAAGCATTGAGAAGGTTACACAGTAAGGAGTACCAGGAATTGAGAGCAGAGAGGTAAAAGGACAGATGACACAAACTAGCCAAGAGGGGCCTCCTGAACTATTAATAGTAGTAGCTGTAGGAATGTAGGAAAGCCAGAAATCCAGCTATTATGTGGCGAGAGTAAAGCTGGAGAAATACTCTTCTGTACCTGTTACCGTGACCCTGTTTCGGTAAAAACAAAAACAAAAACAAAAACAAAAAACAAAAACAAGCTGATGTGGGCTGGGAAATGTGAAATGCGGAGTCACAGCATTGTGGGTAGGCTTGCAGAGGAAGAAAAAAGGATCACCCACTAAAAGTCTCAGCATTAGCATCTTGGCCTTCACTCACTTGCATATTGCTCAGATATGCAAAGCAAGTTCAGTTTTCTCCCTTTTTCTCTACCTGGTCTGATCTTCATGGGCTCCAGCTCTGCATTCTAGCAGGAATAATTTGCACTTAATTAATAGTGTTTCATTTTCTTCCCGCTTGAACATAATTCTTTGACTTTAAACATTCTAACCAGGGGTTCTTAAACTCAAACACGCTGCAGAATCACCTAGAGGGCATGTTAAAACACAGATTGCTGGGCCCACCCCCAGGGTTTCTGATTCAGTACATCTGGTAGAAACTTAGAATTTGCATTTCTAAGGAGTTCCCAGTCGATGCTGATATAACTGGTCGGAGGAACACGCTTTACAACCTCTGATTCAAAGTATTCGGCATTTTATTCCCTCCCAAAGGTGATGGTTTCAAAGGTCTTAGATTAAAATGCTTCTCAGATTGGTTGATCTTCTGTTCTATCTTGGATCCAGAACCCGGTCTTCCTGTGTATGGCCGGTATGCAGTGGCACAAGCATGCTTGCATTGCTGGTTCAACACATCTGAAATGGTCTGTATCTTGTTCCACAAGACAAGTCCTTTGGTCACATGCTAGGATGTCCTGGCAAGGTCAATCTGTGATACAAATCTCTAAGAAGCAGCTCTCACTTGTATTTATCTTGCTTCAGACCAGTAGTAGTTTGTCGACTGGCACTGGCCCATGGACCACATTTTGAGTAATGCTGTTTAGATGACTCAGTCTTTCTCAGATTCTTCACTTCCTTCTTCCTCCTCTTTCCCAAGATAGCATTTGGGTATGCAAGGGGGGGGGGGTGTCTTATTTTATCCTTGTGACAGCCTCGTATCATGCACCATCCTGTAGATACTCAGTGATCCTCCCTGTTGAGGGGCTGGATTCATTCTTTCCCTGGAATGGGGACCACCGAAATGCAAGTAGGTCCCATCTGATCTTTTGGAATGATGTGTGCCGGTCCTCACGACTGCTGCCATAGCCCTGAACACATCCCTTAGTACCCAAGGTCTATCTTCACGGCCTCTGTCCCTGCTCCTAGACCGCCACTAGTCTACCAGTAGTCTCCATGGGAGAGTAAGAAGCTCCAGACACTCCTGTTTCCCACATAAAGGCCATCAGGAGGCAGGAATGCCTTCCGAGTCCCGTGTATCCATCCATCTGCTGCCGTCTCTGTACCGTTGCTTCTGAGCCCCTTGGGATCTGGTGTTGAGCCAAATAGCCAGAGACCGCTAGAGGCAGTGTAGTGCTGGAAGGAGCTTGTAGCCCAGCCAGTTGTTAATTTTTCAGGAATTTGGCCTTCCAGCTGTCCAGCGTGGCCATTATTAAAAGTTAAACATACATACATTTAACATACATTTAAACAAGTTATATTAAAAGCAAAGGTAGCCAATACACAAAATCATCACCTCCTATTTATTTTACTGCGCTGGACTGTTAATCTATGTTTAGCATATGTGTGTGATAGAAATACTGTATAATCGTGTACTGCCACACAGGTCTTCTAAGCCCTGTTCGGTGATACCGTGTTGAGAGCTTCCAATCAGCCAAGGTAGGAGTATTTACGCTGTAGAAATGAGCAAACATTATAAATCAGGGTTCCACTCTCTCTCATCTCCACCTCCCCAAGGCCAGTTGTTAAACATTTACCAACACACCATTGCTTAGAGCCTAAATCTGGGAGTGAGCCACTAATCCACTGGCCTCTAGTCACCCTTTACTTACATAGATGTTACAAAGCTGCTCTTCCCCTAAAGATTAGCTCCTGAAAGGTATCTGTGAAAGAGATATTGAATACTAGAACCTTGATATCATCTTATCTACTTACCCTACTTTTATCTCGCTTTTCTCTCTACCATCTCTTGGGACCAGAAGAATTGATCTTCTGGTTTTTTATTTCCTCCACAGCTTATCCTCGTACATTAAGGGTGAACATTCATGGCCTAACTTTACTCTCTGACATTCTTTCCCAAAACGTATAAATTTATTCTAATCATGAGAAAACATGAGACCAAATTGAGGGGCATTCTACAAAACTTCTTCTTAGTTCCCTTCAAAACTGTAAGATCGTGAAAGACAAGAAAAGACCAAGAAACAATCATAGCTTGGAGAAGGAGACTTGTGTACTAGATTCATTGTGGTATCATAGATTGGACCCTGGAAAAGAAAGAAAATTGGTAGAAAAACTGAGGAGATCCAAATAAGGTCTGAGTATTGTACCAATGTTGATTTCCTAATTTCAATCATTGTTTCATTGTTATGTAAAATGTTAACATCATATGAAGCTGGATGAAGGGTATATGAGAACTCTATATTATATGTGCAGCTCTTCTGTAAATATACAGTTATTTCTAAATAAAACTAATGATGGGAAAAATTCATGACCTAGGTAATAGATATCTTTTCTATCCTATGGAAAAAAACCTACTATGTGCATCCACCTGCTTTGTGATATGCAAAAGGGGGGGAAATGGGGATGGTATAAAATCTTTTTCTAGATAAAGATAAAAAGCTTTACTTTCAAGTGTTTTTTCTTTTGCAGAATAAAAAAAATTATTTTG